TGGCATTATTGCAAAGACTGAAGGGATGCCAAATTCACATTTCTCATCCCTGCCAATCCACAAAGCAGGGCTCACATGTTTATCATAGGATCACAGGATAATTCTTTGTACTTCTTTTTCTAAATAGAAGATGTCAAAATCTATTACAAGCAGTGGCAGTCAGTGGAACCTGTTTAGAAAATAAAGGCTGATTTTTTTCACAAGCAAGCACTGGAGCTATCTGGGAAGGCTAAATTATTGCACACTGACTAATATTTTATGGAAATGGTTGCCAAATTCTATTGCAGAATGGTTTCATGCCTGTAGTGTTTATATGACACCATATCACTTGACATCTGACATCCTAAATAAAGCAAAATTGAGAAGAAAACATTAAAAAAACAGGCTATGACAAAGTCTGGAGAGAAAAGGTCAGTGAAATAAGAATCTGTCAGAATCATAAGCAACTGTCTAAGAGATTGTGCAAGGAGCACTGGACAACAAAGCCACTACTATGTACACTTTTACAGAGCAGCTACAAATAGTTACACTAGCATGATAGACCATACTCTAAAGGCCATTACTGAGTCACTTTAACCCATCTCCAACCAAATCAGTTTAACTGAAGAAGTCTTTAAATAAGATTCTGAATGGCAAGCTGATAAAATAAAATCTTCCCTGGAGAAGATTGACCAGAACAACTGCAACCAGTTCCTTATCCTGACTATGGCAGCACCACTCAATCGAACAGAAAGCCTGGACAATGGCACTGCTCAGGCAGCTCTGTGCGCATTCATGTATTGCTAATAAGAATTGTATGTACTTTGATAGGGCCACAGCCTAGAACTCTAGAACTGTGCACTCAAGTCAAACAAAGCTCATGTTATCTGCAACCAGGGGCATCACCAACACCAACAAATCCCTCCGTGAGCCCCGTAATCTGCTGCCACAGAAGGCTCTGGAGGGTCACTTCCTTCCCTCCAGTCTGCAGGCTCCAGCCAGTGTTAAACAGCTGCCAGATACTGTTTTCAGAAGAAGCTTCCATCTCCACCATGTCATATTATCAATGTTCCCCAGCATGAGAGGTTATGGTACTCTGCATAGGATGTAGAAAAAAGCACCAAAACCCAAAAGGTTTAACACATTGGAGTTCTGATTCCCCTCTGCGGAGCCATAAATCCCAAGAAACCTAGGAAGAGGCAGAAAAGGGTCATGTGGAAGAACATGCTTGTCAGTACAGGTAGGCAAGATACCATACCTTTATAGGTACACCCTGAGGATATGAAACACTACTTAATTACTGTGAAAGTAAATAAAAAAATAGAAGGCAGTTATAGTTCAAACAGAAACAGAACTACCATATATTGAGAAGTTACTAGATATTTATCAGTTCTAAAATAAAGAGACTAAGTTAACTTCCAGCAGCAGGGTTCTGTGCTATTCAGTAGTACTTAAGACACCACAGCTTGCCAGCTACTGACAGACTGTGACTGGGAGCTGAGTATCCTGAAGAGTGTTGTTCGCACACAGCCTGCAAGGAGTCTGATACCCAAGCAACAGGCAGGTTGAGTGGATTTTCCTTGATCCACCATGCTCGGGCTAGTTAAGCTAGTTAATGGAAAAGTACTCCACAAGGTCTCCAATCTGCTGAGATGGGTGAAAAACACCTGGTTACTTTCATACACATGAACTATGTGTTAAGTAACCTGAGAGTAGAACCATTTCTAAAATCAAGGCCCTGCACAGACTTCAGGCCCAGAACCTCAAACTGTCTGTGATAACAGACCAACTGGGAAAAGCATCTACCTCTCATCATTCCAAAATGCCCATGCTAGAACTGAAACGAATTGGCATAATGAGCATTAGGCTTATGTAAGCTGTTTGGTATATGAAATCTAAAATTCCTTTGAAAACTATGCAAAGGAAGTTTGTGTGTGTAGGGGAAATGGTATATTGGAGATCGAAGCACAGATTCACAGAAAACTGAACAGGATGGGAAGACAGGAACTGGATCTTGATCTCATGACAGTTGAGTATTACTCAGAAAAATAACACTGCTGTCTTCCTTAAGGCAGGCCTGAGCAGTGCAGGCACCCTTCAGGGATTACTGTGCAGGGATTATTTGCAGTCAGAAAAGTTTGACTGCACAGGCAAGGAAGAACAGGTCAGGTATTTACTGCTGCTTCTTTTGTTGCCTAGAGTCACACATGATTCACAGAGGGCAACCCAGATTCATCAACTGAGCCTATGGGAAGATCCTCTTCCTAAAGCTTATAGAACTAGACACAACCAAGGCAGAAAAGAGAAACAGATCCCCATGGAGAGCTAAAACAACCCTTTACCAGAACTACTCCACTTTCCAAACCTGTGTGTCCTTCATTTTCTCTCTAGAAACAGTTGCTGTATTTAAATTGATTTATACTTAAAAGACACAGCAAAACACCAAGACAGTTTGAGCACTGATATTAGCTGCCTGATTAAAGAATGCACTTCTCACCATCCCAATCCCCTTCTACTTACGTGATCCTCTTCTGTAGTTGGAATAAATTAACCGCTAACAAAAAGCAACTCTGCCTAGCAGGAGCGGTTGTGAAAGCCACACAGACACAACAGGCATGCTGTAAAATTAGAGGGCCCGGTCTGAGGGAGAGCCCTAGTTAGGCAGGCGGTTTTTAAGATAACATATGAAAGAAAAGCAGCCACCTGCGATTCGTCTAATTTAACCGAATTCTCTATCACCGGTTTATTCTTGTAGCGCAGCACTGAAACTATTAGAGCGTATCTTCCCACTCTCTTATCAGCTCCACAGGCTGCAGTTTGTAGGAGCAATGATAACGCCCGCCCCCCCCCGGGCCCCGCCGCACCCCGAGGTATCATCAAGTGCTGCGGGGCGGAGGGAATCCCAGGGCGCGTCCCGAGCGGGCCCGATTCAGCTCCTCTGCATCCCGAGGGCTGCGCCGCCACCGCTCGGCCCAGGCCGACAGCGCTGGCAGTTACGGTCCCCGAGAGCCGCTACAAGAGCCCCTGCCTTTGTGTGCCGCGGCCGGCGGGAGCGGAGCGGAGCAGCCGGGCTCGTCCCGGGCTCTCCTCCCCGAGAGCGGCCCATACCGCCTCCCCCAGCCCCGGCTGTGCTCGCTCACCGTCAGAGCTGACAGTGTCGTAGGAGTCCCCAGGGGCGGGAGTCGCGGCCGGCTCCCGGTAGTCCACCCAGCTGAGCCCTTCTACGCTGTCGTATTCGGTGCGGTGCTTGTCCTCCACCGGCACCACGGTGAAGTGCGGCATGGCTGGCGGGGCGGCGAAGGCTCCCCGCGGCACCGCAGCGAGGCAGGCTGGATGCGTCGAGGAGCCGGCGGCGCATTCCTGCCCCGTGTGGTCACTTCCTCTCAGGAAACCGCGCTCCTCAACTCCACCCATTCCCCTCCGAGCGCCGCGGCGTCGTGGCGCTCCAGCGGCGGCCGCCCCCAGGGCCGGCGGGCGGGCAGGCCGGGACCGGGACCGCCCCACAGCGAGGGCCGGGCACAGGGAAGCGGGGGGGGGGGTCCCTCCTCTGTGCGGGGGCGCTCAGCAGCGGGGGCGCGGAGGAGGGGCCGGAGGCGGCGCGGCGAAGGGCGAGCCTTACTCCCGCACTCATCCTGACGGGGGCCGGGCCCGGGGGTGGCGGGAGCAGGGCGGGAAGCGGAGGGGCGGAGTCCCTTGCCGGCGCTGCCGGGCCGCCTCAGGGGCGAAATTTCCCTTCGCCGTTCCCCGGCCATTTGCTGAGCCGGAGAGGTGCGGGGAGGGCTGTGGCCCTGGGAGTTGAGTGGGGGTAATCCCCAGGGAGGCCGAGAGAAGCGTCGGGTGAAGTCGTTTCTGCTGGCGGTTGCTGCTGGAGGGTACCCTGTGCGCTTCCTGTCAGCGGCCGTGTGGTCGCGGACCCCTTGGAGGGGTGGTGTGAGGAGAACATGGGCAAGAGGGACCCTCCCGCGGGGCCGGGAGGGAGTGAGGCGCAGCTATTACAAATAATCGCGACTCTCAGCAGACCGTTAAACCCCGGGTTTGGGCTGACCAGCAACCGCTGGAAGGCACACCGTCTCCCCAGGGCGCGTGTGTGTTTACGCAAGTTAACTTCAGATGCGGCAGCGGTCCCCGCTTCCTGTGCCTGTGGCGGCAGCGGGGGCGGGTTCTTTGCTGCTCGCTGTCTTCTCTGCTGCTCGCTGTCTTCTCTGCCTGCATGAAACCGTCAGAAGTAACGCGTCAAACAAGGCAAGCCTGAGGAACCCAGCTGCAGAAAAGGTGTGGAGGGAGTGGGGGCAAAATCCTGCGCTGAAGCCATTTGGATGCAGGCTGGAGCCAAGCATATTTCCAGCTATATGCAAAGCAAACAGTTGCTAGGGCAGCAGACTGCCCGGGCAGATGAACTGTGGCCTGCTGCTCAGGCCTGCTGCATCATTTTTCTGTCCCACTAAGGATGCAGTGGAGAGAGTGCCTGGGTGTCAGGAGGGCCTCTCAACATCTTGGCCCCGAGGGAGCAAAATTCAGTTTTTCTTCCACATTTGAAAAAGCGGATGCCAGCAATGGGTATCTTTGTTTCATCTACGTCCTTTGTTTCATATACGGTAGTCTTCACATGGAGTTTAAAAATGAATTAATGGTTGATAATGCTGTTTATTGTCTCTGTTTGAAAGCTGGTCTTGGAAGTAGAAGGATCCCTTTTCAATGCATTACATAATCATCAGAAAAAAGCTCTAGTGAAGAGTTTGTGCATTCTGCCATTAAATATCAAACTACTTCTGTAGATTTTTTTACTGGAATACTCCTTAAGAAATCTGTGTACAGTGACAAGTCAATCTAGTACTGGTCTAAGTTTGACGTTCAGTTGCGTAGGAGGCTATGGGAGAACATAAAACTTGAACCAGAGGAAAAGGGTAACACCAGACACTTTCTGAACTTAGTCCTGCATTTTTGACACAGCAGCCCCCAGGTCACTGGGAGAAGGATAAATGTGTAATGAGCGGAAGAGAAACAAACAAGAGGGAGAATACTTTGTTCACAAGAACTGAGTAGTAAGTCTACTTTCAATTAGTTGTGGTTTGAAATAAACAAGAAGGATCCATGCTGTGAAGTGGCTGCTGCCAAAGGGTGGTACAGGTCTCTCGGTTCACTTAACACAAACTTGCTGGTAGACCACCTCTAGGGAAACCAAAGGAATTACACCTCTTAGTAATGCTCAGACAGGTGGAAAGATTTAGACTCCTGTGCTTTCCTCTAACTTACATTTTACTTTTGTTTCCCTGCTCTGTTAAACAGCAGTCATCTCCATGTGCCCATATGTAACAGCCTCCTCAGTTTTGGAGGCTATAAATAAAAAGCCAGATTTCCCTCTATTCAAAACTCACAGTATCTTGAAAATCTAGGGCGGGACATGGTGGGGGTTTTGGTTGTTTTTTTTTGTTGTTGTTCCCCCTCCCCGCCCAACCCTAAAATGAGCACATTTGTAAATATGGTCACACTGTGACATTTTACCAACAATCTCTTTGGGCAAGTTAGGCCAATATTGATAATCTAGAAAGCATTTCTGTTAATCTGAGAAGCATTAGTTCTGATAGACTGGAAACATCCTGATGCATCTTTTAGTGCACTGTCTTATCTCCAGCAATACTTTTTTCCCTGGAGGAAGGTGTAACAATTGACCAAAAAGTAGCAATTTGTTTAACTCCCTTTGCTTGAATTATGTTTCATTAGTATTTATAATAAATGAGCTAGAATTCACCAAGAAAACAAGAAAATTCAGTATTAATTAATGGGGCACAAAGAATTTTATAGAGAAAAAGGATGAGATGATAACTCACCCTTAAGCAAGTTAGTTCATAGCTAGTCTTCTGTTGTCATCTTTCCTGTTTTCCATTTTGTAAAGCTTTTGAGTGGAAGTGTCTGGTCTAAGTAAACTGTCCTAGAAAAAGGAGACAGGGATTATAAGAAAGAAATCTCATGAGTTAATGTTTTTGGAGTCATGCTTATTCAGGAAAAAGAATTAAACTAGGCACTTCCTTTTCATCTTGCTTTTCAAAGCAGGTCTGGCTAGGAGCTGTCTGTCTTTAGGTACCAAAAAAGTGCATCTATGCCACCACAAAATGTTTTAATACCATGGAATCAATGGCAATGAAACTGTACCCCATGAGGGGAAAAAAAAATAAAATTAAGCTCTTGCACATATACCAGCAACTCCCCTCTCTGGAATGGAAACTATATCCAAATTTCTTAGGAGAGAATTTAGCCCTAGGAAACTATTCAAGTTTATTGAAGCAAAAATATTTCTTTTGTCTAAAGACAGTGGTTCTTTGCTGACTTGTGGAAAGCCCATATTTAAAGATTAAGAATTTATCTACCCGTATCAACTTTGTTTTTTAGCAACTGGTTTGTAAGAGACCTGAAATTTCAACCTGGGTGACTGCCTTTTGTTTGTTGTTTGTTCCCTACCTCCCGAGTATGAATACTGATTGTTACTTTGCGCAGCCATTGTAAGCTTAGAAGTTGTTTGATACGAATATGAGGTTGAAATGATCTACAATACTACAGCATTTACCTGAGACAATTTTACCTGAGACAACATTACTGTCTAATGGGGATGAAAATAATTACCTGTTTTCTACAAAGCTAGATGGAATTTGGGATTATGATTTCGTATGGGTACAGACTGGTCAGTGAAAACAAAAGAAAGAGCAGAGAGAGTAATGTTAATGTCTTTTTTTTTCCTCTGCCTCTGCACACCACATATCCCCACCCCCAACAGAGAAAAACTGCACTTCTAAACAAATGTCTTGTGGTTTCACTGAGAAAAACATTAAGACGAATTTAGCATAATCAAGGATCACTAGATGAGAAAAGGCCTGAATTGTCAGTAGTGCACAGTAACAGCAGCAGTGAAATCAGCAGTCTAAACATTAGCAAATTTATGATCTGTCTGATATGCAGCCAGGAGCTGCTTTTAAAATGGTTTGTAACATACAAATCATGGAAGTAAAGACACAGTTCAGTTCTTAATTAACAAGCCACTGGGTATTTGTCAACTACCTTAAGTGGGTATAAACTTCTAGCTGAAAGGTCAGTATGCTTTCACAGTAAACGACTGCCATGTGACTCAAAGATTGTGTGAGAAACTCTAAGTCTTCTAGAAGAGCAGTTTGATAAAACTGCTGAAGAGCCTTATTCAAATCCTTAGGGCAGGCACGCAAGGCCAGGTTTGCTTGAACACTTCGTATTACGAGGGGCAACACTCAAGCATTCAAACAAAGACAGCTTGGCTTTTTTTACAGCCCAGCACAAGATGGTGACTGCATGCCGCATCAGCTGTCTCAGAAATGGACTTGATGTACATGTGCAGGGTGTTTCATCCCTTCCCTGGCAGACAGCAATTCACAAGTTCTCATGTGATGCTCCTACAGTCATTCTAGGAGAAAGCGAGCATAGAATTAATATCAGCTTTAGGGATCACTTCTAAGGATATAGTAGAGGGAACAGGCTGCCTCAGCCCTCAAAAAGGAATCACACACCAGAAAGCCCTTATAAACGAGCTTTTGAGTAATTATTTGCTTATAGACTTGAAAGATACGATAAAACCTCAGTCAAACAACAAAATGTAACACTGCTTCAACCGCTTGGTAAAAAATTATTTGCCATTTGTTTAAGAATAGGATGACCCAGTATCTGAAACTGTTTGAGGACAGCTTTTCTTACCTTCCCTTCCTGAATGTTGTGAGGAGATGGCTAATTTTAGACAAACTAGTTTATTATTTCTAACTAGAAAAAGAAAGGCCAAGCAAAAAGTATCATTCTCAGATTTTTTTTTCTATTCTTCTGTAAAATTGTGTTGCCCCTAACACTGTTTGGCACTTTTCATAACAACATGATACCTCAAAAAGCTTTGTAGAAAGTTTAAATTAGCTTTTTGTAAAGGAAGCTTTGAAATGCCTCATTGGTGGAATGACCTACCGAGTTACTGCTCTTGCTGATGTTTATGTCCCCGTGCAGAACACATGGCTTGCTTAGAGGTATATGCACAGGATACACTGCCCTGGAAGCCTAAGAGATAACACCCAAAATGTGTTTATCCAAAACACATGAAACTTGAGTGGAATACTTGTATTCTGATTAGGCACAGTTACATTATACCTCTGCTATTACTGCAGACCAGTATAATGCTTCTCTCCTCTGTGTCAGTAGAACAATCTATGAGCTTACACTTTGAAACCATGAGACATTTCTAAACCATATGACATGAAAAGTATTTCCAAGATATCCTGGATTATCAAGTTAGTAGCAGGGTAGTGTCCCAGAAAAAAAAAAAAAAAACAGAAGTAGGGTTTGCAGATTTATAGACAGCATAGATCTAAGAAAGTAAAAACAAAACCTCTGGGAAACTGAAACCCTGCTCAGTTATATCCCATACAGTTACACACAAAGCACTGATACCTGAAAAGTAAACATGCTTGCAAGTTTTGAAGCCAGCATGTTTGTAAAAACATAAATACAGATATTTAAAACTCTGTAAAGAAAAAAGCTGGGATTGGCACAGCAGTGAATCTGTAAATATTACTTATTGTTTTCAAACATTTTTTTCTCACTGGAGTGGAACCTGGGTGACAAATAGCTCAGAGCTGACCTCTGGAAAAAATAATGAAACAAAAATTGCCGCTGCCATGGTACAGCTTCCCTGGACGTCAGCCTTGGCAGAAATTATGCAGTAGTGAACTTCTGTTTTCAGCACATTCCTGCTTTCCCACATCCGAGGATCACACCAGCTTTGTGGACAAAGCAGGCCGGAAACTGGCAACCTGGCTGTAAAGGTTTCTCGCTGACAATGATCAGGATCTACTTCACTGGTGACAAAGACAAGCAGTGCTGAAAGAGGTCCTTCGGAGAGGACCGCAATGCGTACTTCTACATGTAAAGAATTTGGAACAGAGTAATAAGAGCCTGTGGGAGATGCGATGTGCAATCTCCCATATGCCATTTCCTGGAAATAAAATAAGGCAAGGAAAAGCCACATTATACTTACATAGGAGCTCGTATGCTAACTGCAACTGCAAATTTTGCTCCTGTTGTGAAAAACGTGACAGCTTAGACGTTAAAGGACCACAAGAGGACGCTATGGTGCAATTTATCTTCGAAATTAATTTACCTCAAATGTCTGTCTCACTTCTAAAATTACTCAAAACTATATTTAATATGTGGAATAGCTATTTCTACAAAGATACCTTAGTTTCATCTTTAGAAACTGACAAGTTACTAAGTCTTAGACATTTCCCACACACTCTCAATCAGATTCTGTAAATTCAAATAAGAACTAGAACAGAGTTTTCTCCACTAACTTGTTAAGCATTACAGTTTAGTCTTAATTTACAGTTAATATGCTGAAAAAATGCCACTCAGTTGTTTGTTGTGGTCTGTTTTTAGGAAAGGGCTCAAGGAAGAAACTGAGCACAGGCCTAGACAAGATTCTTTAGATGCCGAGTTTTAACTACAGGAGAGCACACAGGAAAATTAATCCAAATGGACTTTTCAAAGCTCTACTGAACTTTTTTCCAAATGTTTATAATCCAGACTGAAGGGACCTTCTTTTGGTTTGTCTGACAAAACATGTGTTAGCTTCAGTTTTAATCTTAGCTATTTTAATCTTTGTTTCTCAGCAACAGCCCTCGGGGGAGCTTGAGTTCTTGCTTCCTGGGCTCTGTGCTTTTCTTACATTGCAGAATTGGCAAAAGAAATACTTTATGAAAACAGTGAAACCAGGTGCTGAGAAGGGGCTTCAGAGAAAATCCCCATTCTGTAGGGGAAAGAATCACCCTAGTGAAGTTTTAAAACAGTCTGGGGAGAAGCAATAGAAACAACAAACTTAAGTGCCCACTCATTTGAGTTCAGATGGTTAAGGCTAGAGCCTTGGTTAGAAGCAGCAGCAGTTTTGTGATGTAAGGTAAATGCTGAACTTTGTTTATTTAGTTTCCCCTCACATTTCTTGCCTCATGACAGAAGCAGCTAAGCCAATTTTAATCTTTCTGAGGTCACAGCCTTAGGGAATGAGGGTCCTTCATGGCTTAGCAAGAAAAAAAACCCAAACAACAAAAAAAACAACACCACCACCCTCCCACACACACACAAAATAGGCTATGAACAGCTCATCTGGTAAATACTGGACCAAGTGACTGAGAGGTTCTAACTCGGTCACCAAATCCTGGCCATCTGTGAAATACAGAAATGGGACAAAAATGCTTCCCATTGCCACAAATTTTGTTTTTCCTGTGACAGAAATTATATAATGAACTTCTAAACAAATATGAAAGCTTGAAAAAGCTTTTAAATTTCTCTGGTTTCAAAAGATTAAAAAAGGAAAATTACAGAAGCACCAAACACCCACCACCATCTCAAGTTGTACTATATAGATGTAAAGTTTATAGGTAAAATATCAAGACAAAAAAAGAAAAAAAAGAAAAAAAAAGTCTTTGAAACACTGAATCAAACCTTCAAAAACAACCCAAGAAGGCTTGGGAAGCATCACAGTCTGTTCTGAAAACAGTTCAGCAAAACCACTGACATACTGCTTTGGGTCTGTGAATTAAATTCAGCAAATCTTAAGAGCAAATGAAAACCACTGTTGGTGGGAAGAATCTTCTGGTTAATTAATATTTTTATAATTTAGATGTGTTACATTTTCAGAATATGAAGCAATTTAATAATTTCCATATGTATCAATCCAAAGAAGAGCAAACAGAGGAGGTGCTGCTTTCAATGGGAAGTGGAAGAAACCCAAGTTGCTGCAGCCTCACTTGGCTTTTCCAGTCCTCCCCTCAACTAGCACTGAATGTGGTTAACCCAATCACTGACATGATCAGGAAACCTATCACTTCAGGGAGGAGAACAATTAGGTTTTGGCCAGATCTGCACCCCCACAGCAAAGGAGGGTAGGACTGCAGCAGCTGAAGTTAACAGTGGTATGAACTGCTTTGGCACTGCACCGTACTCCAGAAGGTGATAGAGATGCACTGATAACCTGGCTTTTCAGTGTTGATTGTGTGGTGCAGATGTCCACTGAACTATATGCTCAAGATCAGACAGAAGTTAATAAACATTTAGGTGGTTAAATTTAATACATGGTGTTTATTGACCTTGAAACATAGACATATACTCGCATATTGCTTGAGTAGCTCAACAATATGCAAAAAGAAATGCAGATGTTGAACACCGGCAAATTTCAGTAGTCCATATCCAATGTAAATCATGTAAGACTCCTTCCATGGCCCAGACAAGTCACATACTGAGTAGCTCAATACATGAACTGGACTACTCACATTTTACATAACAGATCAGCTGTATATGTTAGACCAGCAACAGGCATTTTAGGCTTGGGTTCTAGCATCATGACTTATTCAGATGAGAGAGCTGCAAACTGAAGTTATTTCTGAGGATGGTACAGCTCATTAATTTGAAAAAGGTTAGCATGAGGGAAGGGCAATGGCATCAACCTTTTAGAATCAAATCAATAGGCTACATCAAAATTATATTTGTAGTTTCTTGGCTGTTCCTATCACACGTGAAAGCATGAGCCTCAGATTGTTAAAGATGCCTTGAAGTTTGCATCTTAGAAAGTCAGCCTAAAGTGCTTAATAGTACATCAGTATTGATATTTACAGAAAGAGTAAAAACTTTTCAGAATTTATGTTAGCACAACTCAGTATTTGGAAGAGATAAATAATGAGTTGCATTCTTCCATTTGGGAGCCAACAAAGCTTGCTACAAATTTGGTATCTCTGTTATATCTGACACTTCACTAACACCACTAGCCATAATAGACTCTTGTCAGTTGAGCTAACATGCATTTCAAATTACTAGTGCAAATTTCTGTTATTAATTGGTGCAGGGCAAAGGCATTCAATTGCAAGATGAAGCATCCTCTCCATTGGGAGGCAGAAATCAGAGTTCAATCACTTTACGCTTGAGCTGTTAGAAGTGTAGTGTTGTAACTGCTTCTACAAACTGCTGTCAGTAGAACTGGAGACACTAGCATTCGGACTGTAAGGTCAGTGTAGTTTTCCTGACAGTAGTCACAGCCATATCTGACATTTTACTTCTGAAATAGAATTCTAATGAGATGTCTTTATACCATGTTTAGATGTATGTGATTTTGATAATTTAAGAAAAATAAACTGCATCTATTAGATAACATAGGTATCATGTGCATAATCATTGCACCATGCATAAGATTCCATTCCTTGTTTGATTTTGCACTCTGATGTTAGTTTCACATAAGCAGCTTATTTGAAGCATTCCGAATTAACACTGTAGCCAGTAATGGAAAGGGGACTTCTAGATCATCACACATCTGTGAGAAATGCTGTGAAATAGATGTTATCCCAGCTTGGTGCAGGCAACCATAAGGCTTGTTCTCTATGACTTGACTAGTTTGAGCAAGTGATTTACCACAGGTATCATGAGCTCACTGATGTGGCTGAGTCACCCATGACCCCCTTCCACAGGTACTTGCTCAGGCTTCTTTACAGGTTAGATGGTGGTATCTGAGTGAAGATGAGGCTGACTGCCTACATCCAGGATGTTCTAGGGTTAAACTTAACCTGACTTTATCCTGCCTCTTATGGGAGAGGCTATCTTCCCTGTGAAAAGCTGACCCAGAGCCCTTATGATAGACTGGCCTTCCTTCTGCAGCAGAGTTGTATGGTTCTTCCATTTTTTTCTGGAGTTCTGAACATGCACATTGTTTTGTGATATTACATCAGTATCTATACACAATTTTAAACAATATTTTATTTAAATTCCATGTATATGTTTTGCTGTGAGGTTACAAATTATTCATTGTGCAAAGCAGTCAAAAAATATAGATAAAACAAGTAAATAAGCTACAAATATCTGTAGTATGGTGAAATCAGTTATATCAAAGTATTATCCAGTTACTATTTCAGTGCTAATTCTGTGAAAAGAGACTACAGATGGCAGTTTTCCAATGACTTATGAACCTATTAGCTGAACTACTGACAGGAAGCAAATATCTGCCCTATTATATTCATCATTTTACCAGAATAACAAGTTCTGATGCCAGTCAATCAGTATCGGGAAGGCAAGACTTCTGAGTCAGTGCAGTACTTCCCCATTGTAGATGCATAACCAGAATCAGTATTTATTGAGAAACTGTTCTCAAAAACTTGGCTTGTATGCAACCAGATTATTCAACTTGATTTGTAAAGAATTTAGTAAGTGGCAGTAGTATATTCAGAATATACTTATCAGAGACACCACCTTATGAGAAGAATTAATGAAGCTTCATTTTGAAGTAATAAAAGAACAGTCTTCTTCCAGAAACCCTACTTGTACATGGAGTGCAGAAGCGGATGGCAAGAACAGTCTCAAGTGACCCTAGAAAATAACTGACTTATTGTTTCTATTCATCCTCAGCTTTGTCTTTCAGTTGTTAAATACTTCATGTATTTACAGATGGTGTCCTTAGACCAGTCACAGATTTTATTTTTATACTACAGATAAATTCTGTAGATGTCATATCAGTAAATAAAACACATACCATAGGATAAAAATCACAATTAACAGCATCATGAGAAGGCATTAACCAGCAAGCACTGGGAAGTGACCCTATAAAGAGGTAGTGATGCCACCTTATAATTAAGTCATGAATCTCGGGATGTTTGATTAACCTTCCAGTTTTGAGCCATATTAGCCTACCAAGAATAGGCCCATCACAATATATGCTCTTCTGTATAACTGTAGCTTCTAACCTCACACACTTTGCATATGTAAAAATGTGTTACAAAGGCCAAAATGGCAGATTTCTAATAAAAAGATTTCTTTCTAATCTCATGTCTATGAATCCTTGGACAATGATCTGATTTCAGCCAGCTAGAATAAAAATAATAAAACGTGATATTAATAAGGATAATTGTTTAAATGTGAAGATTTCCACAAAGTTGCAAAACATTCTAACAAAAATTTTATTTAAATACTCACTTTATACTTTTCAGAGTGCAATGAAAATATCAGAACAAGATCTCACTTTCTGACTAGCTAGAATTCCTGCTTTTTCCTGGCTTATTCTTGCTCCCAGCTCTACGAATATGCAGCAAACAGCAATTTCCAAGTTATAGAAAAGTATCTACAACATTGCCTGGTCATCCGTACCTGAAAGCAAGAGGCCTGCCTGCACCCTTCAGTAACTCTCCACTTGCCCTGTATCCCTGTCAGTGTTCAAAAACAACTTTAATACTGCAGGATGGATCCCTAAAGCTAGTGGAAGGCATGAAATCTGAATTGAAATAGCCATATTTAGTGTGTGCTCACAGCTCAGAAACTAACTGTATATTGGGCTGCATCAAAAGAAGTGTGACCAGCAGGTCGAAGGAGGTGATCCTGCCCTTCTGCTCTGCTCTGCTCTTGTGAGACCCCATGTGGAGCCCGGTGTGCAGTTCTGGTGTCCTCAACATAAGAAGGGCATGGAGCTGTTGGAACAAGTCCAGAGGAGGGCCACGAGGATGATCAGGGGACTGGAGCACCTCCCCTATGAAGACAGGCTGAGAAAGTTGGGGCTGTTCAGCCCAGAGAAGAGAAGGCTGCATGGAGACCTCATAGCAGCCTTCCAGTATCTGAAGGGGGTCTATAGGGATGCTGGAGAGGGACCCTTCATCAGGGACTGTAGCAATAGGACAAGGGATAATGGGTCCAAACTTAAACAGAGAAAGTTCAAGTTAGATACAAGGAAGAAGTTCTTTTCTGTAAGGGTGGTGAGGCACTGGAACAGGTTGCCCAACAAACTGGTAAATGCTCCATCCCTGGCAGCGTTCAAGGCCAGGCTGGACAGAGCCTTGGGCAACATGGTCTAGAGTGAGGTGTCATGGCAGGGGGGCTGGAACTAGATGATTTTAAGGTCCTTTCCAACCCAAATCATTCTATGATTCTATGATTCTATGTTATCCATCTTGTCATTTTAAAAAACAAAACCAAACAAACAAACAAACAAAAACAAAAACACAACAATAAAAAAACAAACAAACAAACAAAAAAACAAACCTGCCTCCCAAAACCCCCACTCTTCTACATATACCAGAGGGTGGTCTTTTCTGACTAAGCCTTTAACTGATGATGAAAGGTGTATGATTTAATAAGCAATATCTGAAAACATCTCAGCACACTGTCAATCATGCTCTCTAGTTCTTGTGCGGAACTACTGACTCTGGAATCCAGCGTGTGTTAGAGTATTTATTCATTAGATGTGAATACTTTCCATTAACAATGTTAGTCCTGGTTTAGCCAGGATGACATAGAAGTTATCACTTTAAAATCCAAATACTTTTGCGACAGCATTTAAAAACTTTCAAGTATGCAGGCAAATTTAAAGAAATGATAGTAAAAAATTTAGCATAGCTTTACATTAACAAAATCCCCAAAAGATAACTAGTTGCATTCCAAATTACTACATATACCTCTCTCAAGGGTCCATAAGTCTCACAATTCATAATACAGTATTAAATGTGATATAGCTACAAATGTCAGACTCAAAGGTTGTGCCACAGAAGAAAATCCAAAGGACCTGACTTCCTGAGGCTGATGATTATGTAGGTCTAGGCGACAGGAGTTTTGTACTTCTTGTGGAGTTTCACTTTCACCTACATCCATTAGCCTGCTACGGTTCCGCACCTAGAAAAGTTCAAAAGATTGCCCCTGAAAGCCAGACTGACACAATAGGAAAAAGCATTATGCAGCTAGCAAATTCAATGCTGTTTCAAGTGAATCAACTTGAACGGTATTGCAAAACCACATCCGAATGTGAGGAAATCAACATAATTATTCTGATGTTTGCATTCTTATGAAACACTTCCCAGAATTCAGTACAGACACATTACAGGCAAGAGTTACAGATGTGGTTGTTCTTTGTCTTTGCTCCATCCACATATGAATGCATTAGCTGGAAAACCTTAAGCAAACAAACTCATCATTTTTCTTCCCTGAAGCCTGCTCAGTCTCAAAAGAGAGCTTCAAACATCTCTAATTTAGAAGGAAAAAAAATTAATCTCACAGATTGGCTAGGTGTGATGAATTCCAGCCTCCTCATAATGTCGGACTGCCACACGTGCAACTCGGCATCAGCTAGATATTTTGGCAGATTAACTGCAACGGTACAGAATTCCCTGATTTCTGTTCATATAACATGCCCCCAAGGCATTTTTTTACTGGAACAAGTATCACTGTGAAATATATGTTGTATATAAGGTTTTGTGTATAATATCTACTTGCTTATAAATAAAAACAGTAGGAGACAAGCAGTTTGTGAGTTTCAGCAGATGCTTTTGAAACAGTTACCATTTAGGGGGTCCTTACTCTCATACAGTCTCTCCCTTTGCTCCTCCCTCTCCCTTCTGGATTAGCATTTAACATTTACACATAAAGCTTGTGATCTAGTTGTTATGTTTATGCTTGTTAGTGATCTGGCCATGGCAGAAGCCTTTTGGATAGCAGCAAGATCCCATGACAGGAATTAAATTGATTTGCAAGAGACAGCATTCCTTACTGCACCAGCAAACACAGCCAGACTGTGATGCTGGTATGTCTACAGTTCCTCCAAACCATGAAGTGATTCTATTGAGAAGTCAGTGATGTGTACTTATCAGATTACCACATGGAGAAAAAGTTCTAAAGAGCTTTGTCCACTGTCACTTTCCTTTATTCTGCTAACACTCTCTTGCCATCTCGGGTTCTTTCCCAGCATTTGTAGTTATTGCATTAAGTGCTTACGTTCCCTCATAGCTCTCTCATGGTGGGGTGGAGTGAGCAGCAAGGTTCTCTCTCCCTTTTAGTAAGAATCAAGATTCAGTTTTGGTTTTAATCTTACATTTTCCACTTCTCTGAAGACACGGAGGAAGTTCTCCCTTAAGACCCCTTTCAGTTCAGTTTCATTCCATCCTCTTCTAAGAAGTTCCTCAATCAAAGAAGGGTATTTAGAAACGTCTTCCAATCCCTCAGGGAAACTGTTGGCAAGAGTCACACAAGAACATTCAGCGCACATATCATTGAAAAACATGCAGAAAAATACTTTTAATTAGTCTTTTTCACGTATTTCTATTTGGAGTGAGCTCACTTTAGAGCCAGTGCTTCCTCTGAGAAGTTAAAGAAATAATTAAGAATTCAACTGACAAACAGAATCAGGGCTGGGACACAATTAAAGGCTTTTTCTTCACAGATGATCACTTAAACAGAACACAACTGGGTATTCTGGAATTAAGATGCACTTGTGTATAGGTAAAACAATAGTATGGAGCATATTAAAACAAAAAAGTGCAAAACACAAAACCAAATTCATGTATGCAGTAACCCATTCTTTATCTGGCCTTTAGAGTAAGAAACAGCTGCATCACAGATGGAGTTGGTACAATCCACTCATGCAACTGAGACCAAGAGAGAACCTCCTAACACATGATGAACTAAGGAGTTGCAGGCAATCCTATGTACTCTTTTGTTTACAGTCATTTTCCCAAAGAACATATAATTAGAATAATAACATTGTTTTGAATTGAGCAGTTTAGGCAGTGAAACAAAAGCTGTTTAGAATTCTCTACTGAAGAAATTACAGTAAGCAAAATTGACCTCTGTCTTGTGCTAATTCTTATCAAAATAAAAAAAGGAATTAGAAGCTGCAAAACCTGCATTTAAAAGATGTTTTTAAATTGTATTTCCATGAATCTTTGACTTTGTTTTGAGATAACTAACATTTTCTGTTATTTTTCTTTTCTGTGGAGACGTGGTGATAAGCATATCTCAAGAAATCTGTGCCATTACTTTCTACCAGGACCTAGGACCAATCAAAGTGATGGTCTGTCTCTGCAAAAATGCATGCAATAAAATGTGTCTTTTCGTTGCAAACTGTGGCTTTATTTTGGAGATTATAATTTCAGAGTTATGATTAGCTAAGACTCATGTGAGCTGACACAGTTTTTGTGATCCTGCTTTACAGATGTGAGTCTGATTGTGAATTTCATACCAAAGTGTGTCTGACCTCAGGGAGGGGGCAGGGGAAAGAAGATTCAACAGAAAGATAAAAGGCAAAAATAGGCCAGCAAATGCCACCTAATCTGCATTTATTTCCTGTGCTGTAACAACACTAGCTCAAGAGCAAGTAGGAGAGGTTATGTTGTAAGCTGTCCACCGTGCTCTGCTTGTCTCAAACACTTTTCAAGCCTCAAAAGCAGGAATCAATTCACATGTTGGGCTTTCCCCACTAGAAAGTAATAGTGGAGGGAAGAGTGGTGCATCATCTTCTTAGGCTAACCTATCAACCATGTAAAGCTTGAGGCATTCTGTTAATAATCTTTGGCTTCCCAGAGGAAATCACTCTCTTGCTGTTTTTGTATGTGTAAACCACTGCCTAGAACTCACAATTGCAGAGTTCAGAGAGTATTGGAATCTGTTTCCACATTTGTAGCACTGCTTCATACAGTTCTACAATTCAATTGTTGTGCCTTGTTTTCATAAAAGTTGGTTTAGTGCTCCTCATAAGACAACTTGCTGTAACTCTTCAAGGCCAGGCTGGACGGGCCTTTGAGCATGCTGTCCCTGTCTATGTCAGAGGGTTGGACCTAGATGATCTTTAAGGTCTCTTCCAACCCAAACTATTCTATGATCTCTTAGTGTACCTTCTTTTTTCCCTAAAAGGACTTAAAACCTTCCTAATTTAAGGAGCAGATATCAATATATGTGCAATTTTACTAACCGTTCTACTCCATCATAGTCACCACCAATTCCTATCGATTCTGAACCTGCAATTTTCTTTATGTGGTCAAAATGATCTGAAACAAAACGTCAAAGACAACAATATCTAAGCATCCAGCAAGAAGTAGTTCAGACATATTGGCACTAGATGACTTTTCTCCTGAATCATGGGTTCTTAACCAAATCATGTTAATAAAAAGCCAAAAGACATCCTGATAACACAAACTAAAATTTAATAATGCAGTTGATGTATTTTACTATTGCTTAACTAGATGTTATCTGCTATTATGGACATCAAGTAGCAATCTTCAAAAATAAAAGCTACACTGATGAGATAGATACAAATGAGGAAAAAGACATGATCATCACAGCACATTATTTTCCAACAACCCACATATACAAACAGATTTTTCATTACCCGTGACATACCTATGTTTTCCACTCCTAATTACAAAGGTTTCAGACCTAAGAAGACAACAGCTTCTTTGGGGTTAATGGTTCTTGGCTCCATTTGGGAGCATCATGTCCTCCAGCTACACACTTTGTACCTCTTGTTACTGTTTAATGAATATTAGCTTCAAAATTACCTAGAGCTGGGGTAAGGTGTGGAAGGGAATAAACAGGCACTAAAATTTACGCTGTCTCAAAAATGACACAGACACCAGGAAATTCATAGAAGCCACCCACAAAAACTTCAGTATATTAACTTCAAACCTGCAAGGATAGAAACATTAACAGCTTTTCTGCCACAGGCCAGTACATCTGCATTGAAAGTCACCATGATAATTCCCTTGTTCCTTTTCTGAAAGATACGAAGAGACAGGTAGTGAATGGAAACTTGTGTTTCCTGCAAATCTCATGTAGAGACTTCTCCATCCACCCACCCACCCATCCATCCATCCATCCATCCATCCATCCATCCATCCATCCATCCGTAAGCAAAATAACACTCTGTAAAAATCAAAGCTCAGATGGCAACACAAGGCTTTGCTCTCTGTCCTTTACCCTGGATTCATTATATTCGCATGTAGTCTGAATCAGCAGAAGTCCAGACCATGTCAAACAAACTCAACCAGGAACTCAAAGTATTTGTAAACACTTCATTTTTTGTAGCCAAAGAAAATACACAACCCAAATAAAATGTCTCAAGAAGCAAACATGTAATTTGCTGCTTAGGTTTTTGCTTGTAAATCCAATTCAGATACAAGAAAGTGAAAAGTAAGCACCATGACTTGAATGTGCAAGTTTGCCTCAGACCACTAAAACAAACAAAGTAAATAAATCCCCAAATCAACAAATCCAAACACTTTCCCAAAACAAAACAAAAACTACACTACACACACACACACAAACCCAACCCAACCAACCAAAAAACCCCCACCATACTGCTTACCACTTTCTGGAGGATATCATCAGGAACATTTCTTGAGTGATTACAAACAGAAAATGCTGAGGAATGGCTAAAAATTACTGGTGCTTTTGAGATACTCAGTGCAGCTTTAGCTGTCATATCTGAAGTATGAGATAAATCTACCAGCATACCCAGACGATTCATCTCCTTTACCACTTCCTAAAACAGACAAGAGTGTCAGTATTAAATTTCCTTAAAGGAAACAGTTTAGCTGATATATATAAACAGATAAATAAATACTGGAGCTGTCAGCTAGTCATAAATACTCTGTGCCTGTATGGATTTCTGTTTACCTATGAATTGAACAGTAGTTTATTCACTCACAATTAACTAGCACACAACCACCGCTCAAAATTTAGAAAACTCAGTCAATCTGTAAGTCATTTCAACTGTTATTCATACCCCACTACTTCCACATATTCATACATCTGATCTGTATTTAAAAAAATGTTAAATTTAAATATAGCACTTCTTTTACCCTAAAGAACATCTAGGGAATTTGGTTTGACTGAACCCTGAGCAACCCCTAACTATCAAAAACTTCCAGTAATTAAGAAGTTACTTTAAAAAAAATAAGGCCAGAAGTTCATAGCTGCATGAGAGATTGCTTAGATTAACATTTTTGAAAGAGATCCTTACTTGGCCAAATGCAGTCAGACCGTTAACATTGGGGTAAAAGTTGTGCATTCCTTTAGATGATGATTCAGACCTTGGAAGGTGGGAGTGAGGAAAGAGAAATATCGTATTATTCTGGAGACCTCAATATCAGCAACTGAAAATTCTTATGATACACACAATAAAAATCATTACCATGTCCCATAGCCATATGTAGGGATAATGAGCTACATAATAGCTGTCTTGTTCACAACTGGTTTTGTTTTCTGGACATCATGCCTTTATGTTCAGAACTGTTGCACGTTTGTGAAGCAATGCAAGACAAGCAAAGAGATGCTTGTAAAAATTTTTCTGATTAAACAAGCATCAGGGAGCAAAGATAAACTGAAATGTCACTGACCTGCCAGCCAGAAAACCTGCTTTTCAGCCCTCTCTGCACATAATTCTCCTTTCTCTGAGTCAGTACAAGAATAAATTTTGCCAATCCAGCAAGGAGTAGGTGCTAATATTCTGATACAGAACTAAGTACCCATCCCTGATGTTGCACATGGGACCTGCACTTTTGAGCTGGCCAGAGAGGACAGTGTTGAAGGCTGCTGACCTCTTACCTATATCTTATGCATTTTTAGTACTTTTTTTTCCTTTTTTTTTGCCCTAGGTAGCTTTCCTAATAAAGCAAAGGAGATAGCACATTTACCATCTTTGTGCCGTTAACAAGGGTTAAAAGTTCCCAAATTATCAGCATAACAAGCACTACATAACGGATCCTTCAATCTCCCACTTGACGAATGGCAAGTAATTTACCCCAAGCCCTATCATCCTTGATTTGGTTCAGAGTCTTTCACAGGTGAACTCTGTGTCTGTATACACCTTTTCCGCACCTTGAAAAATGCCACCACTTTGCATTAGATGTGCACACAAAAACATGACAATAGTTACCAAGGTGTATTGCAGGAATGTGTTAAAGACATGTAACGGACACCAAGGTCATAATACATCCTCAGTGTTGCCAGACTGCTGTCAATGGAGTGACCACCTTCTATTCCAATCAAACACGCAATCCTTCTACTGTCAGAGATACCTGGAAACAACAAAAGAAGATAATTCAAAAGTAATTTCGTAACAGATAAGAAACAAGCAGCACCAAGTGACAGTTGATATTGTAAATTGCAAGCACTAATATCGACATTGCATAGAACAGGAGCTTATACTACTGCATGTTTATATGTCAGATTTTCTTACAACTGCAGTGGGCTACAGCTGTGCACAGTCAGTTATTGTGGTTCAATGGAAAAAAACAAAGGTAAAGTTACTCTTTAATGCAGGATAACTTGCCTGCATGCAGCTGTGTGTTTTGCACGTAACTCCTACAACCCCATTTAAAACATTTCTGGTATAAGAAAGAGTGTAACCTTGGGAAGTTGTCACAAGTTCAAGCTCTTCGTAGCTATTACACATCCTCTTGACAACATCAATTTGCTCTAAGGTCAGACGCACAGCATCCTTGTTCTGAGCGCTGCAAAGAACATACACTGACCAAAACTGAAAGAGACATTGACAAATAAACAAGATAACTTGTGTTTCAACTTGGAAGATTTCAATTGCTAATAGTGCAGCTCATGAGCACAGACCAGAATAATTTCCTACAGTTTACAAGGGAGTTGCCACTACAATTTTTCCCCCAAAAGAAGTTAGGATATAAGGCAAGAGCATCTGCTCCAGACATGATTAAAGCCTCCTGACATACTCAGCTGCTCCACAGTACACACACAAGTTTAATTTGCTTATCACTAAACAAAGACCACTGTTTTGGGTAAGGGTACCCAGATTATAAAACACAAACTTCTGAAACACAGATATTGTGGAAAACTGTCTGTGGCTTTTCATTTTCGTAATTCTCTCTTTTTCAATAGAAACAGGTAAAACCCAAGGCCCAGAGTATGTTTGTGATTGAGAAGGAGGTAAATGTAAAAATATGTTCTCAAATTCACAACCATGGCAGTACATACCTGAGCTCCCACAAAACCAGCTTGAAGTTTTGCAAGGTTTGTGTGGGTCTTGTTGAGTTCTCTTAGGTTGACTGTACTGAGTCTGTTTTGGTAAAATATTCTCAGCCGCAGTACCAAGTCATTGTGGCTAGAATTGAAAACAAACAGGGCTTGCAATAGAAATAACTTGTTCCCCTTTCTAATACAAATGTAATTTCTTCCACTCTTCATAGTCCCTTAGACCATCCATTTGCAATAATCCTTGCAGTAATATATGCTTAAAAGTCTCCTTTCTTTTGCAAACAAGCTTTATTTCTTAATTAGGACAGCTAGTAATTTTATTTCGCTTCTTCCATTTTCATAGCTATTGTGTTTCTGTACCTACTTTTCTCCCTATCATTGCTGAAGGAGTGGAAGAATTTAAATCAGCCACCATGCTTCTTGGAAATAAGTACCTGTGGCAGAATAATCAGTGCTGCCTTTGTCAGAAGAATGAGCATTTGTGTTCCCAGGTCAAAATACAGTTACCACAGACATCACTCTTTCAGGTTTTAAGAGTACCCTCTTAAAGTATAATGCCTGCTTTCTAGCTTTGTACAGAAATGGTTGCTACTGAAAGGCGCCATTAAATTACGGGAAGGAGACAAGGACATTCCGTTAAAGGGAAATAATAACTAAGTGGTGAAACAGGATGTTCTAGGATAGAGCTAATTTTCTTCATAGTGATTGATATGGGGCTATATTTTTGATTTCTGCTGAAAACACAACACTGATAATTGAGGAATGTTTCGGAATTGCCAAGCAGTGCTTACACAGAGTCAATGCCTTTTCTGCTCCTTACCCTCCTCCACCAGAGATTAGGCTGGGGGTGCAAAACAGCCTGGGAGGGGACACAGCCAGGACAGCTGACCTCAGCTGACCCAAAGGATATTCCTACCATATGATGTCATGTTCAGCATACAAATCTGGGAAAGGAGGAGGAAGGGGGTACATGATGGCATTTTTCTTCCCAAGTAACTGTTCTGCGTGATGGAGCCTTTCTTTCCTGGAGATGGCTGAAAACCTGCCTGACCATGACAAATGGTGAATGAATTCCTTTTTTCACTTTGCTTGTGCATATGGCTTTTGCTTTACCTATGAAATTGTTTTTATCTCAACCAACACATTTTTTCACCTACACCCTTCTGATTCTCTCCCCCATCCCGCCATGGGGGAGTGAGCAAGTGGCTGTGGAGGGCTCAGTTGCTGGCTGGGGTTAAACCACAACACCTGATCAGAACATCACAAATGCATTTAGCACAACCTGATCCTATAAGTAAGTACCATCTGAACCAATATTCCTTCCTGATAAATCACTGCAACAGTAACTGACTGCTCTATAGGTGCTAGTAACAGCCTATGTCTCTACTGTTGCAAACACATGCTCACATTCCCTTCTCACTTGTCAGATTCACAGAGGGTTTAATTTAATGTATTTTATATACCCATCGATCAAACGTGCATCTTGCATCAGCTCAATAGTTTTCTCTCGCAGTGATTTCTCGTAGCTGAATAGCACAATATCCAAGAACATCAAGAGCCACAGCAGCTTTGTTGTATTTCTCTTCATTTCCGTTTTCCAGTTTGCTAAAGCGAAGAGATAACACCATTATTCTCTAAGGAAAATGAAACAGGAAAATTTCCAGTCTGTGGAGGCTGTAGGCTTAATGCCTCTCCTTCTGGTAAGGCTCAGGTGAATTTGGCAGGAGGAAAGAAAGAAAGAAAAAAAGGAGAATAGTACACAGAAGGGAAGGTAGCAGCAGAAACCGTAAATCAGCTACCTTCTCCCAAAGATTTTAAGGTCTCTGGCTATTGTGATTTTGCACATGTGAACGCCCTTTAAATTCTGCTGCTGCCACCAGCTGACTGCTGAAGGGAACTAACTCCTCAGTCAGACCTGGCAGGGTGAGTGAGCCAGGCAGACCACGGATTCACACCTCCCAAAAAGCAGCTCCCAAAACAGGGTAACACGATAGTTTTCTCATTAGCCATTTTATTCTCATTATGTGGGAAACCTCACACTGAAATGAACTTTGAAACCGTTTTTGAGAAATTCCAAAAATCAGCTGCTTCTGAGTAAATTGTATTGTTAAAACACACTGCATGTCAGAGTATTTTCAGAGGAAAGCTATTGAAATCCAACACTTTTTCACACCTTAGGAAGGACGGTGTGTGCCAGACTTGAAAGGGTCACTTTATTTCCATGAGGAAATGGGCACGACAGACTTGGAGAGTAAGGCAAGCAGCCCCTGCTCTTTTGTAAATTCAGTCAGTAAGGTTTATAAACATAAACTTTCTTCTGGCAACACAAAAGTTTGTTTTTACTAATAAAGGAAGTTGGGTTTATGTAATCATTCTCTTCAGAGGTAAAAACAAATAGCAAATAGCCAAAATGTTGTAAAATTACAAGGCAAATTCACCTTGTCTGCACGCTTGCCTTCTCTTGTCTTTAAGCTGATTTTCTAAAACAGCAGCAGGTATACATAAACCCAGGAAATGGTTTCCTGATATAAAGCCACATATTCATTTATGAAGTGAGAGATACCTCAGGGGAGATCCATGGGTAATGGTATTGGAAGCAAATTCAAGTCACGCTGAGCAGATTGCCTATTGATGGCACCCTGTTCTAAACACAGTTCTTTCTGCCCCTTACAAGAACATTTTTATTAGAATAACCAAAGCCAAAATAAGAGTAGGCCTGTAATCAGGATATTGGAAAGCAACAAAGTGAAAACCATATTATTAAAATTCTTGTATTTCCAGCCTATATATTAAATCATTTTCTTATCACCTGCAATATGCAGGGTGTAAATCAAAGGAAAAGTTAAGTGGCTTATTTGCCCTGCAGATGCCTGATAAAATGTAAATGAGTTTGTAAAGGACTATTTAATGCACCAGTATGAGTTTAATTAAGCTGTTCAATTAAGATGTTTTAAAATAAAAATTAATCCATTTTGCATGCATTTTATCTCTAAACCAAAATAAAGTAAAAGTTGGGTGAAGGGTTTTTTTGAGTTTTTGGTTTTTTTTGTTTGGTTTTTTCCTTAAGAAATTACCTCCCAACTTGGGTTTAGAAAGGTGCAAACTGCTATTCCAACAAAATCCTTTAACTTGGACAAAAATTCCTAAGGTCTGTCTTTTGAGAAACTGGCTCAGGCCTTTTCTGTTTTGCAAGATTTGGGAATGCATTAAATTGTGGGACCATCTGGCAGGAAGTAATTTTGAACAGTGGGAACAGACAAGCTTATACAAAAGGCAGCGTAGATGGAGAAGCAGGCTTAAAATCAGCCCAGAAATGGTCTCAGAAAGAAGCTCTAGGAGAGCTGCATAAACACAGTAGTATGCAGGCACAGATGGAGATCCAATATAAATATGATACCAGGGGAGCTGTGACACTACCAAAGGAAAATTAATAAGCCTCACCCCTTAATGTTTCCTACAAGGAAAACATAATGTAAGCAATAGCATAGAGAGTATTTGTGAAGTAGAGAGATCTAATCCGACATAAAGTACTCTAGAAATAGATTTGTCCTTCAAGGATGGTTGGCAGTCTGTGTTCTCATTCATGAATAAACATAACAGAAATGACTGACTGAAAGTTTCTTCTCATGTGTACAAAACTTAAGGATTTTTGGCTCAGCCCTTAGGACAATTCCCTTGGGAATCTATTTACATCAGAAGTCTATGCATCTGAGTTTTCTCATGGGAAGGGTTTCCTCCAGACCCACCCACTTCCCCTGACCTTGGAATAAGGACAAGACTTCCCAAGACTGGGATGATACTCTCAGATTGTCCTTCACCAGAGCACAGCTGACTCCCTTGTGGCACTAATTTGTATAGGGTTTGTACCATAGCTAACAGAAGGTCTTATTCCTCTCATATCTGCACAATAATCAAGAGAACCTTTTTGACTGATTGCCAGGGAAATTTTTCTGCTTGTGTCCATTGCCACAGCTTTATACTTGTATACAAGGAAAAATTTATTTTCAGGGTCATTTTCTATCAGTTTGTTTGTAATGCTACCTTTAACAGAAAAATACTTGAATGATCACTGGAAACAACAGAGATGTGCCAATGCTGAGCAAATTGACCTCTGCTATTACTTTAACTCAAAGAAACTGAATATTTATAGATTATGTATTTGGGGAAGAAAATAAGGCAGGTCGCAGATATGTCGGCTTAAACATTATAATTAGGTACAGCAACATCCATGTTCGAAATATGAGCCCTGTGTGCTACAATGACCTGGTATTTTATTTCCTTCTGTTACTTGTTCTCAATAAAATTCTTTTATGCAAGAGGGCACATTCCAAAAGGAAAAGATAATCAGAATCCTATTGGAATCTACATGCATTTAAATCTGCAGCAGTTTGCTTACTGTTGATTTATTTCAATTAACCTCATGCAGAGAACTGGAAGACACTATGCAGTGGGAATATAAAGTAAACCAGGCCCAAAGGCCTGTTATTTCTCTTGTGAAACTCCTCACTCCCTGCCCTGGGGTACGTAAAGCAAAGCACACCATTAGTCCCACTTCTTCCTTTCAGCTCTGTTCCAGCTACACAACACAGGGTTGCAACATTCAGACACACAGCATGGAAGAGATAAAGAGTGAAGTCAATCGTATTTTTCACTTTACACTTCAGAGCCAAAATATCTTTTACGTATCTACCTTCATATCTACCTCTCTTATTGAGAGCATAACTGCTTTTCATCCCCATCATACCCCTGCACACACCGCAATTTTAGGGCATCAAGCTTAGAAAAGCCATGAGCCCACAGCCCAAAATAAAAAATGACAGTCCCTGGAAAGCTAAATGGGCACAGAGTGAGTCTTTGCAGACACACACTACAGAAAGAAAGCTTTAATTCACACTAGCTAGCTTCTACCATTGGTTTATGTTCTTCAAGATCTTAACAGCAGGAAGTTGCTACCAATAAAACATAAATGCTGTGTATACTACATTGAGTGTTCCCACATCAGGAAGGACAGAGCTATAATGAAACGGAATGGTCATATGTGCCATATAAGGATGCAACAGTTTGCTGTTTTAAAATAGACACATTTTAATGGAAACTTTTACAGTAAAAAAAAGCTTTTCTGCATGCTTCTGTCATTTACCATCTTCGGAAGTATGGGCAAGCTTCCTGGCCCCTCTTCTCCTTTCCAGCATGCAGGCCAGACCTCAGTGCAGAAGGTCCAGTAAACTGCTGTTATTCAAGTGCAGCAAATCTCAGTTAGGAATGGCATTCCTTTCATCTCATCTGAAGTCCTTATCTTCCTTCTTATTCTTTATTAAAACACTTCATGGCATACTCAAATTTGTTGAATTATTGTGCCAAATCAAACACATAAAGTGCAATAAATCAGAGCTCACAGCTCATGTTAGCAACATATCCTGAAAAGCTAAGAAGGTTCACTCCCTCACACAGTCCAGTTATGCTGAGATCTCATGCAGATATTCCTCGTGTAGCTCTGAATTAACTACCGCACATCATAGCTTAATTGCCATAGCATCGACAACACAAGGTGACCAGGACCCTAAGTAAAGTTTTCCTTGCTGACCTAGTCCTTAAGTAATAAGCATAGTTAGTAACACATAAATATTAAGTATATTTTAGGAGCAGAACACATGCATCGTACTATGAAGTATGTTTTTCAGAAAAGATACCGACCCCTTTGAAAGTCATCTTGTCAACGAAATAGTCTTTCAAATCTGTCTCAAATCTTGCTTGAAATTCCTTCCACCATCACCAGCCCTGAATCATGCCAGGTTTATTTTCCTCTGCTTAGAAACCTCCTGTTAAATTTATAGCTTAAAACAGGACTAAAAAGGAATAAACACAGTAATGGTGGGAAGACATTTCAGGATCTCTAGGAAAGAGAAAGCAACAAGTAGGATAGCTTGTCTCAAACTCCCTGGGAAAGGGGAACTCAGTAAAGGCAATTACAGTACTTTTATATAAAGTCATTCTTAGCTTTCAGCCTTGAGTTTTGATGCATCCTTGGATATTCCATATGCTATCCACCATGCATGTAGACTGCAAGTTTTTCAGATGCAGGATAACCTCAGTGAGGAAGATTTCTTGCAACTTCTTTGTATAGGAGATTCATTGTTTCTCCTTTAAAACAATTCCATAACAAATGCTATTATAACACATAAAAATTACGTTTTAACTTCAGAAATATTTCTCAGAACTTCCCTTAAGAAAAGAACAACTACTGATCTTTTTTTCTGTTGGTTCTCATCCTTTACTTCACCATGGTTTTTCCTGTCCACATATTTTTAGAGTTTCTGACAAATTCAAATTGCTGAATCTGGGAAGTTTGAAGTAAACAGGATCTGCTAATGCTACACATTTTTTTTTTTTTTTAATCTAATTGCTAATGATGAGGACTATTTTCTTAGAAAACTTATCAAAAGTCTTTTAACTTCAAGATAGATACACTTTATGGCATAATTTCACAAAAGGAGAACAAACCAGAACAGCCTGACCGCTACTTCTATAGCACTGTAGCAGATCATATTTTATCAGACAGAACTGTGTCAAGCTTAAGAGTGCTGACCTCAGCAAAGGGCTGGCCAGGAGTGTTTGATGCAGGGAGTCAGCTGGCTTCTGCAAATATACTCTCTACTATATGGACCACAACAGGTTTCAAAGCTGTAGACAGCAGATTATATGAAAGGAATGCTTTTCCTCCCAGCCACCCCATTTGAGCCCGCCGCCCCAAGGTCCTGTCCCTTGTTTAACATGTGCTTTTCTGCATGCCAGGGTCAGTGCAAGCTGTGCCCCCTCCAGCACCTACCCCTGACAAACTCATTCATTTTGGCAGGGTTTTGCCTGGTTTCAAAATACTCCTATTATTCTGGAAATGTCTTGATTCTGAGTATTAACAGCCAAGTTTTACCAAAATGCATGCAGCCTGTGGAAATACTGCTCTTACAGGAAGTTGCTGTTACAGGAGGTAACAAACTTCACTTCAGCAAAAGAAGGCCTACTTAACTACTTGTGCCACAGAGGAGTTTACTTGCCTCTCCCTCAGAGCTGTGTTGAGCAGCATACTCAACTAAGAACGCTCAGTAGAGATGGTCATGAGCAGTTCTAAAAAGAGATTATTTTCAAAACACACCATAGCCTGCCTTTTTTTTTTTTTCCCCTTTTCCTTCTTTGTGCTGACCATGTTTTTCCAATCTGAAAGAGAGCACTTTGTTTTCTTCTGGTCATGGCATGCACATGAAAGATTCCAAGGAACAGCAATTCCTGGAAACACAGTGATCCTTGAAATCCTTCCTCAGATGGGAATGCAGTCTTGGAGAATAAGTTTTGCTTTTATAAACATGCATCAGAAACATATGTGCATTTACGATCCCAAAACTTCAGTGAAACAGCACTTCTACAGAACTGTAAAGGACAGACATCAACCAGAAGTTGGGGATTTTTCTACTTCATGCAACTGTAGAGATTTCTTTCAAATGTGGAAGCAGAAATACAAACTTCCCTTCTTACCATAGACTTTGTTACCACAGTGAAAAAAATCCTTGTATCTCCAATCTAGAAAATGCCAAATTTGGTCATGGCTGCTCAGCATGCAAAATGTCAAAAACGAAAAGCCAAAAAATCGCCCAAGCAGCAGAATTCTTGCAAGCTGGCAACACAGACTAGTTTCTGCAGGTTTCAAATTCCTCAAACCAAAAATACAGATTAGATGTGCAACCTGTACCTGCAGAACTCTGCCAGACTCTGATAAACTCACTTTAAAGGGAACACTAAGATTGTGGCATTGTGCAGTATAACTACTATTCCAGAAATCCACATCATTTGTCAGTTCAAAATACTTAATAAGAAAGTAACAAAATAACACTGTTCTGATGGTATAAAAACTGCTGCACATTATAAATTTTGGTCCAAATATTTATTATTTTTCTATCAATATGAAGTCTATAGTGATTTTTGGGAAGATTTTTACAAAATTCTATTCCTGGTAGCTACAAGAGTTCCCTATAGATTTGTTATATAAAAGTACTTTAAAAGTTTCATGCAAAATATTCTTTATAGTTTGACAGTTAGACTCATTTGCCTTTGAAACTTAGGTAAAAGTGTTTAGGTAAAAAAAGACTCTTAAGTGTATCATCATTCAGAAATCAATTCTTGAAGACTGGAATATTGCAAACCACACAAAATAAAGAACACGGCATATTAGGCACCCCTATTTAAACACCATTTAAAATACAAAACCCACACAGCTTTTTCCATGATGACTGATGAGCAGAGTTGAAAAGTAAAGTTGACGTGACATTTATAGCTTTTTCTTGTTTATCTAAAGGCTCCTTGGAGCAGGTTACCTTCTTAGGAAAGTGCTGCAGTCAAAATCCACATTCCACTGCGTTGGATGCAACAGCTAAGCTTGGCACCAGGGCCTCCTCGCATCAGAGTGGCAACCAAGAAACATCCTCTAGTTGTCTAGTTCACATGTTACAGGCTTCTACACTCAACAGGCATTTGGAGAGTGCCCCTTTCAGAGATACAAAGTCTGAGAAAGTTTTGGCTCAGCCCACACAGGGAACCACAGACTTGTGTGCTCGAACCCAGCACTTCCTCCCTCTTGCGGCAGGCTGTTTGTGCAATCCATTGTGCATCCGCTCACTGACATATGGGATGTTAAACACTGTTCTGAGGATGTTGTTTAGAAATAGGTGCCACTCACCACAGAATAATTTCCGGGGGTGGGGGCAGGTATTTCTGGTGGAATGTCATCTAGTCCAGCCACCTAATCCCAGCTAAGGCAACATCAAAGTTAGATCATTTTGCTCAGGCTCTTGCTCAGTGCAGCTTTTGATGTCTTCAAGGAAAACAGACTATCTAACCTCTCCAGGCTTCTGTTCCACTGCTTGCTTATTGACATGGTGATTTCCCCCACCACTACCCTTATATTCAACTGCAGTCTCCCTCACTGCAATCTGTGATGGTTGCCTGTCATACTCTTGCTGACCTGCTCTGAGAAGTCTCTTAGATTTGTTCTTACAGGCACAGATACAGGTATGCAACTTACTGCTGACCTCATTTTTACCACATCAACCATACCTAAACCAATAAATATCTACTCCTTCTTACCACATCTGGTGGATTTTAATCAGGGTTTATAGTTCATTGTATGATATTTGTAAAGGACAAGATGCTCAGTAAGTACAGGTGACCCTTTCAAATACCCTTATGCCTCTGAACCTGCTGGGACTTTTCACACACTTTGTGGGAGCTGACGGTTTGGAAACAAAGAAATCCATACATAAACATGATCCTGCAGTCTCACAAGAAATAAGGTTTGCTTATCTACAGAAAATCAAAAGGGCATCATGTTTTATTTATGATTCCATTGCGGAGAAATAATCTAGCCTCACAATCAGAACTCCACAGGCACATTGCATGAGTTGTATCTTAACAGGAACATAAGCTTGTCATCAATCATCTAGTTCCCACTATCTGGAAAACTTAAACAGCAGACCCCATACCACTTTTAATTGTGCTGCACATCACTAAGTTAGTAACCTTCACTTACAACTATCAACTCAAGTGACTAAAGATCCATAAATAATACAAATTTAGTATCACAAATTTAATATCAAGAGAAGGTATTTTCTTTAGAAAATCTCTTCTACCTAATCTGAAGCTTATCCAAGCTAGGTCCATATTTATGCCTATGACAGGAAACTATCTCCCAAATTTAATTTAAACCACCAAATAATAGCTCAGATTAATTTTCCCACTTGTGATCTAGTTCTAGCTCATGCTTCCTTGTTGATTTTCAAGTTTCCAAATTCTCATCCCCTTCTTCCAAAGTAAGTAACCATTGCATAACCATCACCACTTGCAATTTATTTTTCCTATTTATTTTTTTCCTTTGCAAAGTTAAGTTTTATCTCTGATCTCATTTCTACCTAAAACTCTGTGTTTCCACATTCCTCCAGGAAAATGAGCTGATCAAATCCTTGCTCAAGAACAGGTTTTGCTAAGCCACTAAGCTCCTGTTTGTATTTTTAACAGCTCACCTCTTTGCAGATTCGGAATGTAACTGATTTTTTTTAAAGCTCCTATAAGACAAATTCCTCCTTTGGTTCACAATCTGGTTTCTTCTATCTTTTTTATTCCAATAGCCCTGGATGAGTCTTAGCAGCTGCTTGTTTATAATAATTCTTATAATGTGTCATTTGTGATGTAGGCCCTTCCTGCAGAGTCCATCTGGTAGGACTGTTCTCTAAATAAATATCCCAAGAGCTATCTTAGTTGTCCAAAATGATGCTACACAGTTCTCTCCCCGATAATAGCTATCCCTATTTTTGTATCATGCTATATTCACCTCAGATGTATTTTGGAGCAAGCTGAGAAGCTATAAAATAACTGCAGCACCAGCTGCTGTCACAACATAGAAGGCTAATATTATATGTTGGAAATATTTTTCCAATAGGAAGGCTTGTTTCAGCCACAGAGCAGCCTCACTAATTTCAATACTTACACATTCAAAGCTCTAGTGTTTTTACTACCAGCAAAGACTAAATTGTGGATTTTACAGCTGGAAAAGTAGGGCTTTATAAATGCAGATGCTTACTGTGGCAGCCTTTTCTAACTGCAATTTGGTTTCTCCTTAAATTCATGGAGAAACAAATACACTCTACCTTATATACCCCTCAGATATACCTCTACTTCATATACACCTCTACCTACTACACACCTCATTTACCCTACCTACTAGCACTCCAGCATTTGGCATGGATGTAGTTTTGTGTGTTTTGTGTGAGAATCAGCTTTAAAACCACATAGAGTGAAATGGCTTAGGGACAAACCACATTGGCACAGTATTATAAATGCTGCATATGAGGTATCCAAACTTGCTATCTTCCACATAAAAACTGCAGCACCACGGTTGTCAGTTTGTCATTTCTTGGGTTCAGCTATCAGTACTTTAATTAGAAACTCTTACATGTTAGGTAGAGAAAATCCCATGTATCAAGATTTCTGTTTGCACAAAAATAGCAATACAGGCTATTTAACTATTGCAAATTAAATTTTATCTGTTTCTTCTACTTACCTCAGTATTAGTTTTAGGTCCTAAAATGGAGTGAGTTCACACTTTCGGGGGGGGGGGGGGGGGGGGGGAGATGGGAGGTTTGTTAATTGTTTTTATCTGTTTAAATCAGCATGGTTGCAAAATATTTCTCAGATAAGTCTTTGTGAGAAAAACTAATCTAAGCTTGAAAAATCAAAGAGATCACAAACCAAATCAGCAAAACTTTCTTTTTCACATGTCTTCTGGGTGGCTGAAGCTGCCGGGTTCACAACCCTTATTTGACCAGAATCCATGAAAACAGTTCAGATGATGCCATATGTTTTCAGGATATGTACACATAACCACATCAGTTGACACCAATTACCAAACGCAAAAGAAATCAGAGTACAAAGATACATGTTAGTCTTCACAGAGGCTGTTTTTATTTTCCCATTCTCTAAACAGAGAAAACATTTCACAAAGCACATCAAGATGTCACAAAAGCTTTGTAGTCACTGAGAAGGAAGATACAGCTGAGTGTTTCCTACAGTTGAAAACAAATAGTGCCATAAT